TGAAATTCCAGTCCATATCTTCTTTCAGCTTCAGTTCTGGAATTTCCAAAGTTATTTATTGAGGATAGACAAATTTATTTTTTAAATATTATTTTCAATCCCAGCCTACCCTTTTCTTTAGGTGCTTTGTTGTCTATAACCACCCCATAACATACATGCCACAAATCTTAGAATGCAGTTGATTTTGGATTTCCAGTGGGAAAGATGGCTAAATACTGGGAGGAAACTTTTCAACTTCATTACCCAGAATGGAAGCAACATCTAGAAGATCAGACTATATTTCAGCAAATGTGGGTCTGCTTGATTATCAATTTGATGGAAAAGTTCATGTATTTGGTAGAATTAATGTAGTCTGTCTTTCACTCTAACCGTTAATCATGTATGAGCATGCATCATATATATTTTTAGGAAATTTATTCTAGAGGCATTTGTCAAAAAGGGAAGAAATGCTTGTCTCATATATAGGCCTCTCACTGCACATGGAGCACACTTGTAAGATTTATGGATACTTATAATTGAATTTACCTTACATCCCCCACCCCTCCCCCCCCCACACACACACCAAAAAAAAAGGAAGAAATGCTTCTGAAATGCCTATTGGCGAGACAATGTAATTCGGTACAGCTTTTCTAATAGCTGATATATTTTGCTGTCTGTCAAAAAACCTAATTTCCATCAATTGTGAATGAAGATGGATGGTGCACTTATTTGGTCTACTAATTATAATTGTCTGTAATTTCTGTTGTGACTATTATTATTATTTTTTGTATAAACTTATCGTTTGATGCTTCCTGTCTTTTGTACGTGATCTTTTGACTTCTTCATATAGCTGCCAGCAGCACGCTTAGTTTCTTTCCATGGTAAGGGGGAGGGCATCTGTTTTGCTCTTTTATTTATTTATTTATTTTTTATGTTTGGATTTCCTGAAACAATTGCTGAGCAGATTATATATAAACACTGTTTTATCTTGTCTTCGGATTTCTGTTAGACTGTACTTTATATTTGAATTAAATAAAAAAGAAAACCTTGATTGATTGGTAGAAATATGCTACCTCTCTACTAGAATAGCACTGAATCCTGATATGGAGATAAACAATTTGGCATTTGATCCATGCCCAAAGAAATTCCATGATTGGAAGAAAAACCATGATTACTTCAAGGTGCTAAGTATACCTGGAGTAATCTGAGATCAAATCCAGCCCTGTCCAGACTGGACAGATCTCTCATTGATTGTAGCTGGGAAGACAAGTTCAGAGAAGTAATTCAACAAGCACTGCCGAGAGCAACCTCTGACCAGCAACCAATTATCTTGAAAGTGGGAAACACTCAGAAAAAGGGTAGCCCTTTCAGATTTGAACTTATGCTGTTTGAAATACCTGGTTTTAAAGAGAAATCAGAAGAGTGGTGGAATGAAGCAGTGTTTGAAGGTAATCCTTGCTTTGTTTTCTGGTCTAAGTTGAAGTTCCTCAAGAAAAAAGTAAAAGAGTGGTGTAAGCAGGAGTTGGTCTGTATCAATTCCAGGAAGCAACAATGGCTAGAAAAATTGAAAGCCATAGATGCCATAGAAATTGCCCTCCTATCTTCTGAAGAGCTTAGCCAGAGAGAGCTTGCCAGAGATGAGTTTTGTTCGCTGTCTCTTATGGAAGAAATAGCTTGGAGACAGGTCAAGAGTCCAATGGTTAAGGAAGGTGAAAAATGACAATAACACTGCCTATTTCCATAACATAGCAAATGCCAGGCAGAGTAACACCGAAAGCCACGTTGGCATAAGGGTTCGTTTTGTAGGAGACAAGGAAGTTTCTGATGCAATTGTTAAATTTTATAACAATTTATTTTCAGCCAGGGATGTGGTGAGACCAAAGCTGTATTGCCTGATATTACCACAGATCTCAGTCCAAGATAGAGTTACCTTGGAAAACCCCTTAGAAGAGAATGGAATTTGGCAAGCTATTAATGAGTTAGTGGGTGACAAGGCTCCTAGACCAGATGGGTTCCCCATTGAATTTTACTAGTGCTGGTTGGTCATTAAACAAGACCTGCTAGCTGCGTTCTCTGACTTCCATGCAAATGCCAACCTAATTGATGCATCCAAGGCTACTTTCATTTCATTGATACCAAAGAAAAAGGGAGAAGCTGATATCAAAGACTAGCCCATCAGTTTAATTGGGAGTATTTACAAATTGATCTCTAAAGTGTTGGCAAATAGGATGTTTTAAGCCCTATCATTTCCCCTTCACAAGGTGTCTTTGTAGGAGGGAGACAGATCTTGGATCGTGCACTAGTAGCAGATGAATGTATTGACTCAAGGCTTAAAGCAGAGGAGCCCGGGAGTGATCTGTAAATTAGACATGGAGAAGGAGTATGACCATGTCCATTGGTGTCTTGTTGAACATCTTCTTCAAAGGATGAGCTTTGGTGTATAGTGGCAAAATGGATATGTTGTTCTCAAGCAGCTGCAAAGTTATCAGTCTTGGTGAATGGAAAACTGAGGGCTTCTTTGCTGCTAAGAGGGGTCTTAAGCAAGCTGACCCAATTTCCCCTTTTCTCCTCATCATTGTGGTGGAAGCATTGAGCAAGCTGATTGACAGAGAAATTTCAGGTGGACACCTTGAAGGGCTCAAAATCTCGGCAAACGGTGACCCTATCCTTCAGTTTGCAGATGATTTGCTAATCTTCTCAAGACCCTGCAGCCAAGACTTACTTTTTCTCAGGTAACTTCTCACTTGCTTTGAGGTAGCTTCTGGTTTGAAAATTAATCTCCAGAAGAGTGAACGTATTCTGGTGGGGGAGGTTCCTAATATTAATGAGCTTACAGTTGTTTTGGGATGCGGGTGGGTTCCATTACCTCAGAATTTCTTTGCTTGCCTTTGGGAAAAAATTGTAAATTGAAGGAACTATGGAATCCAGTGATTGACAGGATAAAGATCAATAAAGGGTGGAAAACCACACATTCAGAGTGCCTTGTCAAACTTACCAACAGTTCAGGGCCCTGGCATCAGTTCTGAACTCCATCGAAAAACTTAGAAGGGATTTCCTTTGAGAGGGTAAAGATGAGGAGAAAAAATTCCACCTTGTGGCCTGGTCTGAAGTTTTCTAACCCAAACAGCAAAGAGGTATGGGAATCAGACCGCATAAACCAGTCAATACAGCTCTTCTTTCCAAATGGTTATGGAGATTTGCTACTGAAAGGAACAGTCAATGTAGAAACTTGATCAAATGAACCTCTGTTAAAAGGAAAGGCTTTTTCAGGGAGTCCAGATCTGCTGACCACGATACATTGCTGGCCATACACATCCAGCTATACATCAGGAATATCGGTGTTTTAAAGTACAACCAATGTTCCTGATGTGTGGCAGGATGTGTGTGGTAAGCAGATCCAAACTCTTTTTCAGGGTCTTGATTTTATTTTTCTTGTAATCCATTGGGATAGTATTCTGTGGGTCAATGATTTTTCTGTGTAATGTCCTTTTATTTTCATGATCTTTGTAGCTCTTGGCTGTGGAGGAAACCTCTCCCTCAACAGCCTCTGTTTTTCCTTTTCTGATCATTAATGAAATTATCACCATTTCTCAGAAAAAAAAAAAGAAAAAGAAAAGAAGGAACATTAATGTGGCCATGAAGCCAGTATTTGAAGGAAGACAATATGAAATTTAATCTGTTAAGCAAGAGCTATGGGTTTCCTCTAATAAGTCATAACTATCACCATTATCTGAGCTTGTCAGTTGTCACCAGCTGCATAGGATGGCTACCTGCTACACTCCTCCATTCAATCCAAGGCCACGTCTTTTGTTGAACTAACAATTTCAACACCTCATGACTGACCAACTCTTCGGCCACCAGTACATCCTTTTGTGGCCTTAAACTTGTATGAGTAAAATCCTTATGTTGGCATCATTAGTCTTCACTCTAAATGACTGATCACTCTCCTTACACTCTTCTTTACTTTATCACCTATTCGAGATTACTATCCAAGTAGTCCTACAACTGTATCTATTTCAATCCCTCCATCTGAAATCTCATTCTACGAAAAATAATCATGTTTTAACTGAATAATTTTTGAAGGAAACCTTAACTACTAGTAGCCAGAAACAAAATACTTATTTGTTATTTCTTAAAGAGGGGTGAATATCAAGTACCGGAGATCATCGAACTCAGAATATCAAGCTAGGAGCAACATGCAACCCCAAGACAGAGCTGTCAATGGATAGGGTCTACCCAATAGAAGGAAACCAACTGACTGATTATATCAGTTCTGGTTATGTGGTTTAATTTGTGTCCCGAGTAACAATTGGGCTGGGGCCAGTTCTTGCTGTTCTAGCCAATTAAGACAAGAACCAATTACATAGTTAATGATATATAAAGGTTCTCTTGTTTTCTTGTAATTTTTGTTATATTTTATGTCTAAGAGAGTAAATTTCATAGATAGTACACAAGATAATTTTGGTTAAAACAGTAGTTTTATCAACATATAAACAGTTGGCTATTTACTGTCATTTTTATTAAGATTATATTATCAAGTGAAGTTCCAAGTTGTTATTATCATAGGTAATTATATATGTCAAGTGTACTAGGACTAATCAGGTCAGACCTGATTATCCCATTAATAATTGGTTTGGTTCTGTGCCTATTCGGTTCTCTGTATGTGCAGGGGTAAGGCTGCGTACATCTGTCCCTCTCCAGACCCTGCATTGGTGGGAACCTCGTGCACTGGGCTGTCCTTTTACTAATAATCAGTTCGGGATTGATCCACCCTGTCCTGAACCAGACCCACCAATTGACATCTCTACCCCAAGATATGTGGACTTGGTGGAAACAGAAATAGAAAGTTGAGCAAATGCAATTACATTGAAGTCAGGAATAAGAATGCAAAATCCAAGAGCTTCAAATCAAAATCACAGCACCGAAACAACACAAGAATTATAATATACCAAGGTATATACAGTCGAAGAAAAAGAACATCAAATAGAGAAAAAAGTACAAAAGGGAATATAAGGACTGACATTCCATCTGTAATAAAGAAGAGGTCCATGACTCTGCCATCGGGCGTTGTCATCACTTTTACCCTCTGAATGGTAAGTTCAAGCTCGCAGAGGACCTGAGTGACATCTGCAGCAGAACTCACAACGAATCGGTGCCAAAGATGGTCAAAAATGGGAAGAGAGCATGCGAAATAAAACATCTGCAATTACCATGTAGCAGTCCTTTTCGGTTGAGGCAAAATAATTTCAACAGGTAAACTGGGGAAGGAGTAGAACGACTGGAATGTTGATTGAAGTAAAATGAAACCGAACATGATGGGCATACAGATAGAAGACGGTTTTTTAAATTTCCCCAACTAATAGTAAGCGATACAGGATGAGGCACCACCCACAGTACTACGTAGCACCATCTCCCATCAGTTGAAACATCTACACAGAAATTACCACCAAGTCACCAACTCTCATAAAAGCAAAAAAACTAGTACAACTGAAATTCAACAAACTTGACAAAATCCAATAACATTGCCCACAAAGGAAAAATAACACAACTTGAACTAAATCAAATGAAACTTATTAGGGAAAGACAATTTAATCAAGCAAGACAACAAACCGTCAAACCGTCTCTATTACTAAATTGAGTGGTATATAAATAGCAAGAAAAAAAAGATGGTTGAAATAATGGACCAAAAATCAGAAATTCGACCCTCAAGTAAAAAATGGACATACACCCGAAGAGAAACCCAAGACAACAACTAACAAAATCGAGACTGGAAAACAGTAACTGCAACCAAGGATCGCCCTGACCTCCTCTAGTAATGCAAAGCCCGAATTCGAGGATGATTCTGCAAAGATCGCATCCGAGGCCGGTCTTGTCTGGACAATTCACGGTGATCACACATGGTTCACCAGGCTGCTTCCCCTTCTGAATCAATACCACGTCATCACTATGTACACCCATCCCGGAAAACGACGAAAACACGGCAAGAATTCTGACTCAAGTCGCCGGAAATTCAAAATTGATTAGTGCCTTGAGCATCGAAGTAACTGAACAGTGGTGGTGACTTTATTTAGGGGAAGAGTTAGTTGGTATGTCGCAGCTTCTCTACTGCAACATCTGGATTTAGCCGAGTGTGGGGGAAGAGAGAGAGAGAGAGAGCGACTACGTATTATAAAATACAAAAGTGGCCTTGTGTGCTTTGTCGGCCGAGCATCCGGCAATCGTCGTTAGGTGACAATGTGACACGTCAGCGGGAGTCAATTTGAAACATATTGCAGCGTGACTTGGTGGCGTTGTTGCAATATGGAAACGAGGGCAACAACGTAATTTCTAGTATCTGAGGCCGATGAATCAACCAAGATCAAATTAGCAAAGGGTTATTGGGGGTTGCATCAAGTAAGAAAGGAGACTTAGAGCTTGAGTTTTAGAGTATTTATCTCAATGTGGGGTCTTTTTTATAGTCAGAGTTGATTGAGAGGAGTGGTTGGGAGTAGGTGGCGGTGGTTGGTAATAGATGGTCAGAGTGCGTTCAACCGATGCCACACGTCAAGATCCACGGGATGGCTGGGATGGATCCGACCAATGCCATGTGTCAAGATCTGTAGGTCAATCAGATACCCTTACATCACTTGCCCCCGCTCTTGAGGTTGTAGCAACTGAGGTCGGTTGGTGGGTTGTGTCGAGGCCTCTACTTCGGCCGAAGAGAGTAGAGTACATTTGCATGGAGGTGTCGGCCTCTGCTGTAGATCTATTCTCAGCGGTTGTGCGGCAACTGCTCCTCCGTTCACCCTTTGCGTCAATAAAAGACGATCCTAGGCTGAGGGGAGATGATCGTGGCCTGTGCGGGCGTAGGCCATCCGCGTCCGTTGTCCGTGCCTCACACGGGCGTTGACGTCACCCATTGTATGTCCATACACAGGACGAGCATCAGGGTCGACTTAATGAAGCCTTGTACGAGACGACGCGTGGGGGGGTTCAGTTCGGCATATCCTTGAGCCGGAGTCAATGGGCAAACCTGCCCCGTCTCTTAGTGTTGTCTCATACATAGCTTCATTCAGTCGACCCCGATGCCCGTTCTGCATATAGGCATACAATGCCTATCCTACATACGGACATACGACGGTTGACGTCAACGCCTATACGAGGTACGAGCAACGAACACGAATGGCCTATGCCTACACGGGCCATGGTCACGTCCCCTTGGCTTGGGATGGTCATCTACTAACGCAAAGACTGAATGGAGGAGAAGTAGTCACACAACCGTTGAGAAGAGCTATGCAATTTAGGTTGACTCCTCCACGCGAATGTACTATACTCTCTTTGGTCGAAGCTGAGGCCTCGACACAACCCGTAAGTCGACCTCGGTTGCTATGGCCTCGAGAGTTGGTGGCAAGTGATGTAAGGTTATATGGCCAACCTGTAGATCTTGACACTTGGCGTCGGTCGGATCCATCTCGGCCATCCCTTAGATCCTGATACGTGGCATCGGCCAGACGCACCCTGACCATCTATCACCAACCACTACCAACTGCCACCACCTGCTTCCAACCACTCCTCCTCTTAAGCAACTCCGACTATAAAAAGGGGCTCCCACATTGAGGTAAACACACTGGAACTCAAGCTCTAAGTCTCCTCTCTTGCTTGGTCCGACCCCTCAGAGCCCTTTGCTAAGTTGACCGTCGGAGCCTTTGCCCCTGGGATAACTCCTGGGGCCTTTTCTTTCTCTTAGCAGGTTAGACCCATCGACCTCGAGCACTAGAAATTATGTTGTTTCCCTAAGCTCCATATTTGGCAACAACAATTGGTGTCGCCTTGAGAACGTCTTCAAAACTTTCGCTTAAAAAAGCAAATCTAATTTAATCAACTAGTGTCCCTGAAATAGCTAACAAGAAAGACCCCATCCCTAACGTCCGGAACTTAGTCACAATTGACCAGTTCGAGCTAGTCCTGAACAAGTTGGACAACCTGGCCCAGCAATTGGGCAACATAGGGAGTCTGGAAAGAAGCCACCCACAGGGTGGCCACCCCGTCAGAAGCCATGGACAACACAGTGGGCGATCCGCTTGTACCCCGCTAAGCCAATGCTCGGGCGGTTCGGAAAGAGTCGATCCCTCGGAATCCAACAACAGCAGTCGACGAGCTGGAAAACCCCATTCTAAGATCCTTTGGCTCCCCAACCGATGGGTCGACCTTGTGGGGTCCCACGTCAAGCACAAGAACCTCGGCTATCAACACCATCGTGTAGGCCACTACAGTCCCCCTCCAAGGGCGGAAGTTCAGTGTCACGCCTCTCCCCCACTAGTTTTTGACCTTCGCGACCTCCTCAATGATCATCGTGCCCACAAGGCTCAAGACGTGCTGGCGTTCGAGCACTCCAGGAACGGGACCAACCCATCCTGCGTGAGAGAAAACCAGAACTAGGCCGAAGCAACAATGCTATACACCGTCCAGTGCCTCAGAGATATTCAAGCGTAGATTGGTGCCCTTCAAGATCATCTTCGGAAAGTAAAGGAGGGCCAAGGTGACACCTCCACCAGTTGCCCGACCTCTTCCATCTAAATGAAGGCATTCATAGATTCCATCCTCTCAGAGCTCCTCCCGCCAAATTTCAAGGCCCTGGCATTGGAGACCTATGACGGGAGTATAGACCTTGAGGACCACCTATAAAGCTTCTAGGCCCTCATGCTCCTACACGGATACTTCGACACCCTCATGTGTTGGGCCTTCCAAGCCACATTCAAGGGAGTAGTGCGTCGATGGTTCTCTACACTGCCTCCACACTCCATCACCTCTTGGGAACATTTCATGGACCTCTTCCTAGATCACTTTATGAGCAGCTGATTGTATTAGAAAATTGTCATCTCCCTGATGTCCATCAAGCATAAGCGTGGAGAGAGCCTTCAGGCATACATGAAGAGGTTTAACCAGGAAGAACTCGAGGTCAAGGACCTCCACCCCTCGGTCTTCATGCATACTGTTGATGTCCATCAAGCATAAGCATGGAAAGAGCCTTCAGGCATACATGAAGAGGTTTAACCAGGAAGAACTCGAGGTCAAGGACCTCCACCCCTCGGTCTTCATGCATACTGCCATCAATGGCCTCCAGCCTGGACCCCTTAGCTGGTCCATTTCCAAGACTCTGCCCAAGACTAAATTCGAGTTCTTAAAGAAGGTTCAGAAGTACATCATCGTCGAAGCCAACAAATGCCTCCAAGAACTGGAAGCTGAGGGCCCAATGACAAGAAGAGGAAGGACATGAATGACTGCGACGATAGTCCCACCAACAAAGGAGGAGAGAAGAAGCCGTCGATCCTTCCTTCAATAAGTATGCACCACTAAACTCCTCCAGTACGCACATACAGATGCAAGTGGAAAAGAGGAATTCATTAAGTGGTTGGCCAAGTTGAAGAGGAACCCGAGAAGGGGGAACCCCAAGAAGTACTACAAGTACCACCGCTAACCACGACACCGAGGACTACTATGAGCTCAAGAACGAGATCGAGTCCCTACATGTTTGTCACCAACAACGACCGACAGTTTGACGACGCCAAATTCAAATAATGGTGTGGAAGCCTAGGGATAAGGCAACAGTTCACCTTGGTCGATTACCCTCAAACTAATAGACTATCCAAGGTCACCAATAGGACAATCCTAGATGGATTGAAGGCAAGATTAGACAGAGCCAAAGGGCTTTGGGTGGACAAACTGTACAACATTCTCTGGGCATACCGAACAACACCTCAGACTGCCACGGGTGAAACCCCCTTCAACTTGACATATGGGATAGAAGTTGTCATCCTAGCAGAGATCGGCCACCTGATGCTTCGGATCGAAGCATATTAGGAAGCCGAGAATAGTGAAGAGTTAAGGAACAACCTTGACCTATTAGAAGGTGTCTGAGAGCAAGCCCAAATCAGGGTCGCGACATATCAACAAAGAGTTGCAAGATACTACAACTCCCGAATCAAAGAGCGTCACTTCAAAGAAGGCAACCTCATCCTTAGAAAAGTCATGGTTCCTGAGCCCGATGTCAAAAAGTTTGACCCAAACTGGGAAGGGCCCTACAGAAGCAGACAAGTAATAAGACCCAACACCTTTCGGCTGGAGTATATGGGTGAAAGACTGGTGCCTCGCACCTAGAACTCTGAGAATCTCCAAATGTACTATCAATAGAGTTGTAAATACCTTAGTGGAAAATTCTAAATGAAAAGTGCAAGTTACTCTCACCTTGAATCTTTCATTATATAAACATTCTCGTCCTCTCCAGCTGCTAGGAGCCCTCGGTCGACCAACCGCAACATACTATCTTTCTTAAGGTTATACGCTCGGACCAGATGTCGGCCCCAAGGCATACGACACTTTGCGAGTCATACGCCTAATTGCCTTTTTGACCTTCTATGACTAAGGCAAGAACTTTTGTGACCCCAACAAGTGTTGATTAGCTAGGCCACAACCCTGGCCTCTGCCTCAAAGACCCTTAAAGAAGCGAGTCTTTGGAGGCCAAAGAGCTGACGTCGGGCAATTACTTAATAAAAAACATGATGAATGACACACTAAGTAAACGACACTTCCCCACTAAGGCAACCACTCGTGACCTCAACCACAATCAACTTCCCTTTTTTTGCTAAGGCAAAGAGTTCCAAGACTTTGATAGCTGCTATCGAATAGCTCGTGGTGTCAACAATGGCCTAAAGGACTCTAATACAAAACGTCCTCACGAAAGACTAAGTAAAGAACACTTTCGAAATAAAGAATTACTTTATTAAAGGATAACAAGTTTCTTTACAAAGATGCCTCTTTGGAGGAGGCATCAACCCATTGCATAAAACAAAGAAAAATAAGAGAAAAGAAGAAAGGGAGAACATCTTTTGGAAAGAAACTTAATTTGCATTTACTCAAGTATCTTTACAAAAAAAGGCCTCTTATGGGGAGGCGTCGACCCCTTACAAAAAAAAAAGAATTACATACATACATACATACATACATACATACATACATACATACATACATATATATATATATATATATATATATATATATATATATATATATATATATACAAGTTTTAGGGGCACTCATGCCCAAACAAAAGAAAACAAGAAAAATTTATTGACCCCCTCCAGTTTGAGTGGCAACCTA